AATGGTGCAATGTGATCAGTGTGACGGATGGCATCACTACGATTGTGTTGGGGTAACAGATGAAGTTATCAACCAGAGCTGGAGCTGTACCAACTGCAAGACTGCAAAATGGATCCAGCGAACTACGATTTCTTCAGACAAACGATCAACACCGAAGGATACCAGAAAGGAGCATACATCTAAACGCACTTTGTCGGTCAAGGAAGTCACAACAACTACGCCTATTCGTTCATCCAGTGGTAAGAACAAGTCCACTCAGTCCGAACCTCCGGTACAATCCAGATCCATCGATAATCGCTCAGTTCCAGAATCACATCCGTCGAAAAAGCAGTCAGATCTAGCGCCGTTTCTAGAAGCCAGAACCTGTCCTTCAGTGGAATAATCGCAACGTTCAACGGAAGGAGAAACTCTTCGTACCGTCAGTGGATGGACTTCCGGAAATCTTGTTGGAGAAGGCATTTTCAGAAGTGTCCTGTTCATCGTCGCAGAGATCCGCACGAAATCGTGCCCAGTTACAGCTACTCAAGCTGCAGGAAGAAAGGGAGTTTGAAGAACGGCAAGTAGAGCGTCGCAGACAAGAAGAAGCAGAACTTCGGCGAGTAGCTGAACTGCAAGAAGCAGAACAACACAGACAATTCCTAGCCAAGAAGTACAAGATTCTGCAGGACTTGGCTAGTGAAAAGGGGTCGAGTCGGAGTTCCAGTTCTATAATTTCTCGACGTCGGGTGGAAGAATGGGTTAGACGTTAGGAACGTTCACTCACAAGGTGGGTTCGAGATCCGAAACTGGATCAGCAATTCCAGACAAGTGACATCAGCGCTGCAAGAAGAAAACACGGAGGAAAAGAGTCTCGATCTATCGTCAGAGTTATCCACTGAGAAGGTCCTAGGCATATGGTGGAATACAACGTCTGACACATTCACCTACAAGGTCGGTTGGAATCGTTACGATGGAGCTCTGCTGAAAGGTCAACGACGGCCCACTAAGCGTGAAGTTCTACGAGTCCTCATGACTATATTTGACCCACTTGGACTGATCGCACACTTCCTAGCCTACCTGAAAGTCTTGTTGCAAGAGATCTGGCGATCCGGTATTAGCTGGGACGAAGAAATTGGCGAAGATGCGTTCGCGAATTGGCTCACCTGGCTGAAAATCTTGCCCAAAGTCGAGAACGTTCAGATTGCTCGGTGCTACAGTACCAGATATCCGTTCATCGAAGCCGATGAAGTACAGCTACACACCTTCGTAGATGCCGGAAAAAATGGAATGGCAGCTGTATCATTTCTTCGATTTGTCAAGAATGGGACGATCCACTGCTCTCTCGTCACCTCTAAAGCCAGAGTAGCACCATTGAAGCTCACTTCGATTCCTCGACTGGAGCTGCAAGCAGCGGTGATAGGGACACGGCTTACTCATACGATCATTGAGACGCTGTCTATAATCATCACGAGAAAGTTCTACTGGTCGGACTCAAGGGATGTTTTGTGCTGGATCAACTCCGATCATCGACGGTACACTCAATTTGTCGGGTTTAGAGTCACGGAGATTCTGGAAGCTACAGAAGCGCACGAATGGCGATACGTACCAAGCAAGTTGAACGTAGCGGATGATGGTACAAAGTGGGACGTACAGCCTGATCTATCTCCTGAGAGCAGGTGGTTTAAAGGACCGGACTTTCTCTGGACAACCGAGGACAAGTGGCCACAGTCAGCAATCCGGAACGAACCGACAGACGCTGAACTCGTGGCAAATCTTTCAGTCCACTACGCTCTCCCAAAACCAATCGTTTGCGTCTCGGACTACTCCAGCTGGGAACGATTGAGAAATGTTGTCGCACGTGTGCTACGGTTCACAACAAACTGCTGCTCCAAGCAACGGAAGCAGCCGATTAAAACGGGACCTCTCATCCAAAACGAACTCTACACAGCTGAAGCATACCTGATTCGGCTCGCATAGCAGGAAGGTTATCCTGAAGAACTAATCATCCTCCGAGGTACACCACAAAACGCAGGGGAACCAACAACAGTGCTCCTGAGATCCAGTTCACTGTACAAGCTGACACCGTGGCTTGACGAACATGGAATACTGCGCATGAGAACTCGTATCGCCGCTTGCCAGTACACCACTGAAGACGCAAAGAAACCCATCATCTTACCACACAAACACCACGTCACTACCTTAATTGTATCACACTACCACAAGAAATACCACCACCAAAACCACGAAACAGTGATAAACGAACTGCGGCAGAAATACCAAATCGGCCGCATACGCTCGTGCTTCAACCAAGCACGCAGAGATTGCCAAAAATGCAAGATCGAACAAGCAGCACCAAATCCTCCATTTATGGCCGACCTACCTCCTGGTCGTCTAGCAGCATTCTCACGTCCGTTCACACACACGGGAGTCGATTACTTCGGCCCAATTGAAGTCGTCGTTGGAAGGAGTGTCGAGAAACGCTGGGGAATGCTAGCCACATGCTTGACCGTTCGAGCGATACATATTGAAGTAGTTCACTCGCTGACCACTAGTTCCTGCATCATGGCAATCCGCAATTTCGTCGCTCGGCGCGGAAAACCCCGTAAATTCTACAGTGACCGGGGAACTAACTTCGTCGGAGCGGATCGAGAGCTGAAGAAGCTTGAAGAAGTGATCAACCATGACGAGATAATGAAGGAGTTCACTAGTTCTGAGACCGAGTGGGTGTTCAATCATCCGCTGGCACCACACATGGGTGGAAGTTGGGAGCGGCTAATACGAACAGTAAAGAGCAACCTGATGGCTGTCTGCATAACTAAGAAACCGTCCGACGAAGTGCTGCGAAACACTCTAACCGAAATAGAGAACGTAGTAAACTCCCGGCCACTCACGCACGTGCCGGCAGACGACGATTCTGCTCCGGCTCTCACCCCGAACCATTTCCTACTCGGTTCATCCAACGGAACGAAACCACTGGTCAAGAGTGACGACTGCCATCTCGCCCTGAAGCAGAACTGGTGCACCTCTCAGATTCTGGCCAACCTGTTCTGGAAGCGGTGGGTAACTGATTATCTTCCTGAAATCACTCGTCGGTCCAAATGGTTCCAGTTTGTTAAACCGGTCGCTAATGGAGATGTTGTAATTATCGTCGACCCTAAGATGCCCGGAGCTGCTGGCCAAAAGGAAAGGTCATCAGTACGATTTCTAGTAAAGACGGTCAAGTTCGATCCGCAATCGTACAAACATTCACCGGTGTCTACGAACGTCCAGCAGCCAAGTTAGCAGTGTTGAATGTTCAGCGCGTCGAGTAGTAAGCCCACCGGAAGTTGGCGTACTCTGGAGGGAGTGTTGGCCCACCCTATTAGGCCAGCGCGAACACCTTCAACCCATACACTGTGGTGGTGACAGCATCACGCGTAGCGCGCTGCTGCGGTGGTTCCGAGTACAGCGAAGTGACAGGTAATTGTCACGTCTGGTGAGTACAGTTGAGAGAACGGCAGAACAAAAGGAAAAAGGTGTAAACACGATGGTTTCATGCCAAGAAGCATGCTAATTTCTACAGAGTGTTAATCTTAATTAATAGGTGTATTTATATTACTTAAAGCTAGTGTATAAACCTAAACTAGTGTAAAGTAACTACGATCAAATTGGTAAGGAGTTATATATAAGTTCAAACTTATAACTAAAAGATATCAACTATTTACATTTAGGACCTACAGCTAACCTTATACCTTTGTCATCACTACGTCTGAGCTACACCCGATGTACTGAAGTAGCTAACAGAATCGGTAAGAGTAATTTCTCTGAAAGCTCCTAGAGATGAAGACGATAAATTTATATGAGGAAAAACAAAAAAAAAAAACTATTAGCTAAAACTATTTATATGATTACCAGGCCTTACTGCTAAAACTATCAGCTGCTCTATTGATTGGATTGAGGTTGAAATTTACAAAGGGAACTAAACGTAGGTAACCTAAAATTACATTAAACTTACAACAAGTTCGTACCATTGCCTAAGCTAATATGCAAGCTAGAGCAAAATGATACCTTAACGCTAACATACAACTAAAACTATTATACGAATGGAATCTAATGAAGATTATGTATTCTACCTACTACTTAGGAAAATTATATTCTCGCTATATCAACAATTGGATTCTATTTATTCATTTGTATCCGGGCGGGAATAATAACTTTGGAAACGTCCCGTTGAATTAAATTCAACAGGAAGCTTAGTACATACAATCTCGATCTTGAAAAATAAACATTCAATATTCAGGGATAATTTTTAAACATTTTAGACCTTTTTATTAATGCTGAAACTAAAAATGTGTCTTAGAGATCTTGAATTTTCAAGTCCCAGCATTAACAAAATGATTCAAATTTATCCCTGAATATTAGACTTTTTTTTCAAGACCGATAATTTATGTCCTAGACTCATGCAAAATTTTCTACCGTAGAACCCCATTAGTGTGAATTGCTCCAATTGCTTTTAAACGGTGCTCATTTAGAATTTGATAACTGGTACCGCTACACAGCTGCCCAATGGTGCTATGCACCTTTGTTGGTGCACCAGTTAAACTAATTCTTAATAAGTGCCGTTTAATTGCAATTTTAGCTATTCAAGCTAACGAGGTTCTACGGTATGTCCATGAATTTTCCATAAAAAAAAAATTAAGGTCCATACAAAAAATGTGACAAATGGGGACATAATTAATGGACCATCCCTTAGTTCATTCCCTGAAAGTTTCAAGAAAATCCGACTTAAAATAAATTTTTGGCGAACACTTTTGTCTGGTGCATTTTTTTCGAGTACGTTCCTTAACAAGTAATGAAAAAGCCTCAAAAGAGCGATCTATCACAGCAACTGAGTAAAAATGACTGTCTCGCAGGGCTAGTCTCTGCGACCGTAAAGTCTATTCATTCGCCTACACGTATGCTTCCATGTTTACGTCAATCACAGCAACTTGCCACCACTGATCATTGTTTCTCTTTTCTTATCTCACCACTCTCACCCACAGAGAAACGAATATCATCGCCAGCCAACGTGACGAACGCTTCGATCGTTCCGGAGCAGCGGAAGGGATCGCCACCACCGAAGCGCAATCTCATCGCAAAACGAACGCTTTCGGCTATCAGTGCTGGCAGCAAGAACAATACCACCACCGCCACCATCAACACCAGCACCACTGCAGTACATGTGGTGAAAACGCCATTGAAAGGTGAGTGCACTGAAATCTGATGCCATTTTACGCTTTGTGGTGGTTTTAGTCGATGGTTTTGGTTAAGTTCGCTTAGCTCTGCTAGGCTGTTTTAAGTCATAGTAACAAGCCAGTTACTATGCATAAGCGTTTGTGGTGAATTTATATGTGCGCCTGAAAGTAGACTTAATAAAAAATGAATGTGGTTGTCGATCGTACAGTGATTAGCAAAAATGTGGAGACTTAGAAGAATGGCGTAAATTTTGAAAATGATTCGGTCGAAGTATTTACTTTATTTGCTAGGGTAAACGCACCTATAGTGGAGGTACGTTAATGCACTGTGTTCCTATAGTGGTTTATGGAGACTCCATAAGCTACTATAGGAACACATTTCACTAACGTACCTCCACCATAGGTGCGTTTACCCTATACAATTCTGTTTTGTTAATAATAAATTAAGTAGGGTTAACGCACCTATAGTGGAGGTACGTTAGTGAAATGTGTTCCTATAGTGGCTTATGGAGTCCCCATCAGCCACTTTAGGAACACATTGCACTAACATACCGATCAAAATGAACAATTTCGTTATCCGAGATTGAATTCTCCGATAAAAAAATACCATAAACGAACGATAACCCAAATAATAGAACTTTTCCACAAAAGGTTTAGATGATACCCCGAAAAGGTCGCTTAGCAAAATAACCATAGCATTTTCAGAGTTGGTTGGAAATGCTATCTAACATGAAGCTTTAGTGTGATAATTGATTGGCAAGAGGATAGTCTAAAGAGGGTAGGTAGATAGTTCCGTTAGAGTATGGTAGTATGAAAATTCAATATAAGTTGAAAATGAGCAACAGTACTAGTCAAATGCAAACTTCGTTACCTTTAACTTTACCACGTTTGACCAGTACTGTCGCATTAATGACACTTCGCCCATTTTCAACTTCTATTCAATTTTCATACTGCCGTACTCTAACGTAACTATCTACCTATCCTCTTCAGACTATCCTCTAGCCAATCAATTATCACACTAAAGCTTCATGTTAGATCGATAGCATTTCCAACCAACCATTACCAAATTATGGGAGCAGTCGTGGCCAGTCCCACAGGTGGATCGCGAAACTGTTTGGAATCGACAATTCGACCGTGTCCCGTGTGGTAAAAACGTTCAAGGAGACCCAGACGACCCAGCGGCGAGCTGGCAGAGGAAGAAAAGTGAAGACGACCGAGCCCATGAACGCAAGAAAGGTGAGGGATTACTTCAAGCGCAATCCGATCCTTTCAATTAGGGACGTGGCCAAGAAGGTCAATTCTTCCGTCTGGTTCGTCCAGTAGACAATGAAGCAGGTCAGGCTGTATATTTTAGAAGATTGGCTCCTCCTCCACTACTGCTCAATTCTCACTTGTCAAGTCTCGTGCAGACTTATCTCTTTCTTTTTCTTTTCGAATAACGATCTTTCACTATAGGAAAAATGGCTATAATGTTGGCCTATGAATCTAAGATTGGGACCATCGCTAAAACTCTGCTATTTATCAATTTTGCTGAATTTATGGGTATGGGCCCAAATTAGGGGAATTCAGGCCGACATTACATCGATTTCCTCTATATAGATATATATTATATGCGTTTTGTGTTTGTCTAGCTTGGTTTTCGCGCTTTTGACTTTAACCAGGCAATTTGCTAATCTCGGACAGACAGACTAGACACCGCTGGTTACAATTCTACGAAGATCTCTTAACATCTTTGCACTACTGGAAAGACACCTATCATATACAAATATTCTTGAACATCTGGAAAGTTCCTTGAAGTTTAACGCAGTTCCCAAAACCTCCAAGAAGTTCATGGAGCTTTTTTGAAGTAAAATCTCAGCCCCGTATCGTGGGTAGATAACCTTTTCGTGGTACGTTACGGGATGTAAGATCTACCACCGATTCCTAGTCCTGAGTACTTCAAACTAGGAGATCAGGATTTTTAAGTTATCAAATGAAGACATCTTAGTCCATGTTACTTATTATACCTTGTTGATAGTGACAAGACTCGGATTTGTCTACCGAGGATGATCTTGAAACAAAGAAAAATAAGTTAGTTAGAGTCTTCATTCATGTGATTCCTAATCTTCTATTCGTTGTTCCCTAGTTTGAAGTGGTTAAGACTAGGGTTCAGGTGCATGGTCATTATCATTGTCATTCCTTAATTTTGTTGCTAAGGAATCCAATTTTGACTGACAAAGGGGTGCGCCTTTGGAGGGTGTTTCAATACTCTGAAAGGTATAAATAGCGGGACCTTTCAATTTGAGTCGGATCCTTGCGATAAATGCAAGAATGACAACTGTAAAAAAATCGAATACTTCATCATTTCTCAATAGTGATGGAGTAATACCATAGAGGTAACTCTAAGACCAGAAGGTCCAGATGAAACGTGCTCAACTTTTTGGCTCAGCTCTGGTACTCTCTTCGGTCCCAAGCTAATCGATGCACCCCTCGAAACATAGGAAAATCCACGAACCCCTCATTTTATCTGTCAAACTTTCATAGCAAATCATAACAAACATAGTGTAGTATTAGCATTTCGACTAGAATGGGGTACGTTAATCGATTTGCTTGGGACCAATAGCCTAGTCAAGTAGCGAGCCAATTTAAAATCATTAGTTTCCACCGGTTGGTAATACGACATGCACTAAACTAAGGGCACCGGATATACTACAATAGATCAAATTACTGGTCGCAGTGGTGTTAGGTACCGAACAGAGGAAAAAGAAGATCTCCGACAAACTGCAACGAAGTTGCCTAAACTGAAGCGAAGATCCCTGAAGTTCTTAGAAGTTTATTGAACTAATTTTAGATGTTCTACAAGTTCAGGGAATACTTTTCCAAAATTCCTGAAAATATGAAGTTTTACGCAGCTTCTCAAAACGCTACAAAATTCGCAAACCTTCTACAAAGTTTGCTGCACTTCTACTTTTCTCATTGATTTGTCACGAAGTTCCACTAACGGAATTTATTAAATTTGCACGTTATTTCCACAAATATTCCAAGTCGATGAGGCTTCCATAAAGAGCCCTAAAATGATATAAAGCTTCCTGTTCAGTAATGAGCTTTCCTAAAATAAAAGAATGTTCCCTTAACTTCTACGAAGCTCCTCAAAACTAAATAAATTTTCCACTTCTACGCAGTTTTCAGAACTTTTCCAAGTTCCTTGTTTCTACGAATTTTTCTGAAGACGTCCAGAACATCGTTTCTTCTAGTCCAGAGCATAAGAAAAGTAGTCAACATAAGGACTTTCAAAAATCGTTCTTTGTGGTTCAATTTTATTAACGGCTGTAAAATAATAACAACGACAAGCTTGACAAACTACCGGTGAGTCAAAAAAAAAAAACGCCAAAAATTATGAGAGGGGCCTTGATAATTCTGGAGGGGGCCTGCCCCCCTTGGCACTCCCATTAACTACGCAAATGGTCATAGGTATAACAATCAATTATGCAACGTTTCATGCAAATCAGAGAATGTCGAGTCAAATATTTGTTTATGCTATTTGACCTGGAATTGCCTGACCTGGAATACTACAACAACAAAATGAAAATGTGTATATGAGAATATATTGTACAAGATGTGTGTTAAAAAGCTACAAAACTAATTTTAAAGAAATATTCTTTGCTGTTAATAAGTATTCTTTTTATTCTGATGGAAAATGATGCTTTACTGGTTTACTGATACTGACATCTAATAAATGTTATGACACCTGTCCCCGTAAAATGATGAAACACAATCCACTTTTTTTTTGCAACTAACCAATCCATTTGTTTTGATTGTAATATACCATTTTCGCTTCCTCACCACCAACAGACCCCCGCCAATCGTCAGCTCATTTAGCTTGAGCAGTCGTTTTTCTGCAATTAATTAAAACATGCGATGCACGAGTAAAAAGCCATTTCCAATTCACCACGACGGCGCACGCAGACTGACTGCCAGAAAGGTGAAACCTACCCTACAGGAAGTCCTTGCTCTATTACCATTTCCCGAGACTCAGCAGGGGGAGGGCCGTAGATAACGATCGAGCTGCGAAGACGACGAACGAACGGTAGCGTGCAGAAAGTGCATTACTTTAAAACTCTCATCGTCCATCGCCGCCGATCTGGTTTGTAATGAATCTCTTCGGCGCATCAATCACCTCGCCAGGAGGAGAAGTGTTGGCAAAAAAGTTCACTCCTTCGCGGCGGCAGCCTGCAGTGGTTGAAAGTGAAAATTCCTTTCCCCTCTGCAACACATTTCAGTTATGCGTGATTTTTCCGCGTCTGTTGTTTCTGTGTGTTTTTTTTTTCTCTTCAAGACATTTCAAGATCATGTTCGTTATTTTGCAATCGCTCTAATCAATATCTCTACACAGTCGGAACGGTTCACCGGGAGGACATGGTGGAGTGCGAAACGGGTTTCCTCCGATGGAGTCATGCCTGCACGTGGATCATGTTGCAATACCTGCACGCGCTACCATGCGGTGGGTGAGATATTGATAGAGTTTCGATCGATTTCTACGATATGGAAATGATGGAAAAAATCGTGGATCTTTTATATAGATAGAGGAAAAAAATATTGAGTAATAAAACATTCCGAGAATGAACGTGCTCTTCAAGTGATCACTCGTGAACACTCAAACGGTGATGATCATCGTTCGAGCCATATTTTCATAACACCTGTAGCACCATCATCGGTATTTACGTGGGTTTCACCTTCTCGAAGGCTTCGCTTGTACTCGTGGCTTAACCGCTTGACTTTCCATAAAAGCCACAAACGGCTCAGACTCACTCATCTCTTCCTCTAATGGCGGGCACCACTAATTGATCGGTCATTTTCGTGCTTAGCTAGGCACTTGAAGAGCAAATTTTTGCCGCCTTGAACGAAATTCGATTAGAGCAGGTGGTGATATGTCGAAATCAATTAACCGTCGTCGGAAGTTGGGGAATGAAACTGATGGTGGTTCAATCCCGAAACAAGCCACCTGGGGGTGAGATTTAAGTTTTCTTCTC